GAATAAACGTGAATCCACGCGAGTTTCGGCTAGCGGGCACTGATCGTCCGCCGGTGAAAGAGACGTGGAACGCGAGCACCGTGCATCATCAGTATGCACGTTGTTCCCCGCTTTTTGTGACTGGACGTGATTGGGATAATTCTTGGTGGCACTCCACTGTGCTAGGCTCCGCTGCGTCGACGACAGGGCCGAAAAATCGTGCGCGACATTTTTACCAAGCACTCGGCCACGGAGATGTCACGCTGAAGAGACCTACGGTGAGTTCCTTCGCTTCACTTTGGATCTGAATTCAGATGGAATTTTAGCGGTGCAACTGGTTTGACCACTTTTTTCGGAGCAAGGCACCCAGTGTTTTGATGAGGATCGGTCGTGGCGCTGTTTGTACCGGGTAAATTAGGATGGGTCAGAATGTATCTAATACTTGTTGGTTTAGGGGTTGGCCCCATATTTAATAGATCAGCAGATATGAATCAAAACTATAATCGTTATAGCAAAAATTTAAGATGTATGGTTAGACTATGGATTTTTATGCATTTATGGGCATAATATCTCCTTAAGTCATATTGTATTTTTGTACTTGTGTTTATAAAATTTGAAATTTGTATAAACATCTGTAGTTTACATAATTATGGTATAAGAATTCATATTTGAATTTATATCATTTTGGTTATGAATAATTATTATACAATATAAAAGATGAAAATTTTGCTGGTTACCGATAATCATTATGAACTGCGAAAATTGTTTTTGGTTGCCGTTAACTACTTTTGATGTCAGAAACTTTTTTCATTACTTTCGATTATTCACAATTTTTATGAAAATCATTGATAATTATCTGATAATAATAATAATTAATTGTTACATTCTGGTATTAATAGTAAAATGTAGGTTCCGTATGTCGAATAGAAATTTATTATAATGAATATTATGACGAGTAATTAACACTTTTTGTAAAAATTTGTATTTACGATTAGGAAATTTACATTCGCAATTCTGTTAATAAAAATCCGGATTCTTAACATTATAGATTTTCTGTTGTTTTAATCAAATAAATATTAATTTCTTATGCTTTAAATATTCTAATATCTGGCGTTGTAGATTTTTTTATAGCCTCAAATACGTCAATAAAAGGGGTTTGATATATTTTTACCTTTTTAAAAAAATAGGATTTGAGAAGTTGTTACATTTTTCGAATGAGAGAAGCGAATACTCGGTCGTTAAACTCATACTTCACTCGTATGCATGTTCGATTTTCAAGGTATAACGGTCACCACGCGATTCATCGGAAGATTTGACACGCGTAAAATCGGTTCTAATAACGGTTTGAAAATTCCAGCTAATTTCGTTCAAAAATATCTACAAAATTTTAATTTAATAAGTTGGCATTATTAATTATCTAGAAAATTTACTATATATATCACATTTTATAATACGCATAATAACTTTAATGTTATAAACATTATAATAATCTGATGTAATATAAACTAAGTTTAAAAAAAGAGAGAAAAGAGGGTAAACTTAACAAATTCACATATCAGCTCATAAATCGATATAATATTATCTTTATTGAATTTACTATTTCTAAAGAAGGAGGGAAAAATATATTTCGCAGATGAGATAACCTTGATAAATTCATACGTATATCGAGCTCGTAAATCGATAAGTATCGATAGCGTGGGATCAACTTTAATTTAACACGCGAGAATTGTGAGATTGAGGTTAAATTTCAATTTTCCTTAGTAACGTAATTTTTCTGACGAAGATATGTACGTATGATAAAAAAATGGTAGAAGTGGCGAAGTAAAATCATAAGGCGACAGGATATCCCTCTTCCCGTCTCCTTATTCGGTTCTCTGGAATTTTCTTGCCAGGGATTATTCGTCCGAAATTTAATTGCGTGTCTCCACTTTTTGGCCGCAGTCCAAACGGCAAAAACGAAAACTGCCGGTGAATCGGGACTCGCAATGCGGTGCAGGAGAAACGATATGACGGAAAATGTACTATGAAATTCCGTGCAATCGTGCCAGGCAGTAAATAGAAGTGGAAATGAAAAGTTTTTGATGGATTCCGTTTAACCCTATACGCAGTCACCATACTGACAAAATATATGGGGTATTCTAGTAACATGGTACAATCGGTAAGGGGACGGTTCTACATGTATTTGCTTGGTTTTCGGGAAGAAAAATTGTCACGCATACTTTAAGTCTATCGATGCTAGAATAATACTAAATATAAACAATAAAGAGCTAGTGTGTTTTAAAAATAGCTAAAATAAAAATATGGAATTTATATCTACAATTTAAAAACATAGGGAATTTAATATCCTGCTTACATTATGGCGTTCTACAATTGAACTTGAAATGAATTGAAAATGAATTGAAACCGGTTTGTTTTATGTACATGTTGTTTAAACATATACACTTACTAAGGTTAAGGTTTTATAGTGAGGTTATCGTCGATGACGCTATTTCGAGTCTCTAATAAATATTTAGACTATCATTCTTTTTTTATCGTTGCGCAAAGTTAAATAAGAATAGCATCTTATGCATGCGAAATCCGCGGACGTAATACCGTACGTGACAAGAATTGGGAATATACTTGCACATGGTATAGATAAGGGACTAAGTTAAATATCACATTTATGACATTAAGTAATTGAAAGGTTTATTAAAAAATTCTCTTTCTAGTGATTTGTATCTATTTCAAATTCAAAATCCTTTTATATATATATAGTAGTAGTAACAAAGTTTTTTATTATATGCTAAATATGCAAAATTAGTAGAATAAATTCACTTTAATTATTTATTATTAGCAAAAAATAATGCGAAGCACAATTTTTTTTAGATTACAAGGATGTAGTGAAATAAAGCTCTATAGGGTAAAATCTAATATCAAGTTGCATTATAAGATTATGTCATTTTATGTAATTTTACAATATGCGGATTTATAATTTTATAATTTATATGATTGTATAATAATTTTATAATTTTAGTAACTATCACTCTGTACTAGCCCCCCTTTTCACCAAGTGAAAGGAAAATAACTAAGAATAATACGAAATGGAATCGTTTCTGTATTATTACAACAACTGAATTTTAATATTAATATTAATGATATTGTAATAGTAATATTTAAGTTTACAAAATCCAAATAAGTTCGATAATATTTTTTTATCGTCAATTAAAAATTGTTTCATACGCAAACGGGCTGGTAACTTGCTAACTATATTGATTTAAAGCATTACTACCGCAATCCATGAAACTGAAAGTAGAACTTGCTAATTTTAAACATGTAACTCTGTAACTTCAACTGCAAATAATTCTGAAATTCGAGTCTACAAAACAACTTGCGCAATATTGACTTTAGTGATTTTTAAAAAACCACAAGATGTTATCTAGGGAGAAATACCTATATGTGGTATACCTAAATAGAATAGTTAACTCTTATTTAATAACTAAACGTCACTGTACCACTTAGGACCTTCTTATACAATCAAACTGTTAACAGCGAGCAGTTATTGTACACTTAAACAATTATTAATGAAATTGTACAAGACACGAGTTACAACTATCTTACCACTATCTTCTATAATATATTCTATCTTCTATAATATAATAGCAAATTCAATAGTAACAAAATTTTACAAACAAATCGTACAAATTATAAATCAACTGATTATCTGATTTAACGTAGAATTATAAAATTACTGATGTTATTACTTTACAAAATATTAAATTACTCATATTAATAGTTGATAAATTCTTGTGCAAGAGGATCCTGACGATAAATTACCGACGAAAAATCACTATATTTTTTCGTTGCATCGAGAACGGTGTGTAACGCAGGTTAGGTTACGTCATGTTTTTGCAGTGTCCCTTTATCCTCCGGTTTATTCGCGTTGCTTAATTTTTCTGGTAGGCGGGGAAGTTTAATAACCGGAATTATAGCAACTTTTACTCGAAATACGCTGAGAATGTTCGTGATTTAAGGAAGGTAATTGTCCTCGACAGGCAACGCGCATAAGTCGACCCCGTGAGAAGCATTAGTGAATGAACTGTGTAGAAAAATACTCAAATGCGAAGCTTGCGTGCCGTCTGGCTCGCTTTGTTGAATAAGTTCGGGGGGAAATGGGAGTATTATAATCGATAGAGAGCGCACTCGTCCGTTGATTCATCCACGCACTGTATGCATTATTTCTGACGACGATTATAATTCCACTTTTTCCATGTATCGTCAAATAAAAATACGCTTTTTTACCGATGTACTTCTTCCTCGATACTTACAGTTCAATTAATTTGTTTTTCGTCGACTGCAAATAGAACTTATTTAATTTGTTTATTGTAAATAACATTCTAGTGAATTGTGTTTATTTAACATTCAAAGACCATGTAATTTTATTTTCTCATATTTTAATCCATCAAGGGCCGTTGTTGTATTGGCGTATTTTCATTTGCAATTTGTTTTTTAATCATTCTTCACCAAGCATCGAGTTCTATTTCCTAATATGAGATGCTATGAGAAGAGATCCAACGATACGCTTGGTATTTTTTTTTATCAAAAATAGCATGGATAAATATTGATTATTGACACGTAAGGTAAAACCTTAGAGGGTAAATAAATTACAGAGAAAGGAATTCACTTTACAAAAAATGATCATTTATTGATCATCGTGTGAAGTTTACATTTATAATGGAACGGCAATATTTGTAATTTAATTTAGCTGACACAGCTATTGACACAGAAAGTTAAACAAATCGGGAAGCAAGTTTCAGGGTCAGGAAAGAGAAGTTTCAGAAAAACATCTTTCAACAATGGTTCCTTGGGATTTACATCTACAATGGAAAGGAAATAAGATTTAAGTGATTATTGTAAGAAGTAACCGGAAGTCATCCGTAACTCGCACAGCGAGAGGACTACGAATAATAAATAATAAGCAGTGGAATGGAAATGTTTAGAACGAGAATTATTTTTAACCGGTTCGTTGAAGTTCTGTTAGCCGCGTTTTGTCCACTGACTCTCCTTGGTTTTTTCCCTAGCCAGCTAAAATGACTCACAATCAATATGGCATACGCAATACTAAATGCCGCTCAGTTATTGATATTCGCGGCGTTGGACATTATCCGTGTCTTTCTCTCTTATAGAAGCGAACTGACCCTATCGAGTGGATTACCGAGTTGCCGCATATATTTCTGCGTTTCTGGCTTATCTTCATTTATTTCCTCAAAGCACGCAAAATTCCTAGCAGGAGAATCGCAGA